TATATATTTATATGCTAAAGTTATTTATTAAAATAAGATATATTATATGAATTGAAATTTAGTTGAGAAAAACAAGAAAAGAAACAACGTAACATATAATTTAACTAGCGGTCTATATTGTTAGTGCATTCAGTGTATAATTTATATTAATAATTTACATTACAGATACTATAGAATTTTAAAGTTGAAGGCGCATTTATCGAGCTTATGAATATGGAACTACTACTAGCATCTATAAGATCTGTTCTTTTTAGCTGAAGTTCTTGTACGATTCATCTTTCTTCTTTTTTTTCTACATTGAAGAAAAGAAGAGAAAAAACCATGCAAAAAGTTTAACTAAAAGAAACAAACCTATTGTCAATCAAATTATAACCCGCGTACAATCAACAATATGGCGATCGTTTAGATCAAAGGAAACCGATGGTACACGATGCTTTTTTCTCTCTAGATCGCTAGTTGGATTGGCTCATAGTCAATACTGTAGCAAGATTTTAATCTAGCAATCTAGCGCTGGCAGTAAATTGGAAGAGCTGTAGCAGAAAAACAGCATCGTGTGTCGCTGGCTTTATATTGTGATGGAGTAATTGGACTGGTTGGATCTTATTCAATCTTACTCAAGATAAACACGTGTAAAAGCACGTGGTGACAACTATCACATAAATATCAGCATGTATCCTACATCGGTGAACATAGCGTTGTCTGGGAAATATGATGGTGTAAAGCAAGTACCATGGTTGTCTCTGTAAGTATCGATTAACAAACAAAATTTTAATGTTTAAGAGATGAGTGAATGCTGACGGATAATCCATTTGTTGATTAGGGCAGAATGGCACGATGTATACATGCAGATTTATTCCAACGAGCCGATTGAGCAAACAAAGGCCTACGAGGCACTTTTAGCATGGAAAGCCAGGTAATGTAATGTTTCATTATTTAATTGGATATCGAGATAGATTTTAAAGATTATTGTTATTCTCAGGATGCCGAAACTACCAGTGGGCGTGGATTGTACTCTGTCAATTTTGCAAGTGTGTCTCCGTGATCGCGAATGGACATCCAAGATTGATAGTGGCGAGCTACCGATGTATTGTGAAAACGACCTGAGCTTGATGTACTCGACTACGATAATGAGATTTTTGAACTATTTTTGCAATATAGGGCATACAAAGCAAACATCCATGTTTAAGATTGCTAGTCAACTGAAAATTCCAGAGTGGATAGTCGAGTTGAGGCACGAGACTGCTCATGGATACGAATTGCCATCTATTGGAGTATTGAGGATAGCAATTAATATATTACTGCATTGGTTACATGTATGTTTGTTTTTGTTATAACTGTATAAAATCCATAAATCCATTCTATAATTACAGGTGTAAGTGGTTATAATTGTAAGAATTGATAAGTTACAATCGAATATGAGAATATTTAATCATCAATCATGGTCAATTCTTACAACTACAACCACTTAAAATTAGACTTATGCAATAATAGAATAAGTATTTAGTATCACAAAATCTTTTGAAATATTATTTTGTACAGGATGAGTATTGGGCGCCCGAAGCATGCGCAATGGAAAAATATTACTTGAAAGAAGGAGACGAAGTCTTAGAGGAAGAAGAGAAATTCGAAATAGAGAATTTTACAAATATGATTGAAATTTGGACAGCTGTTAATTTATATGTCAATGCTGATTATAAATTAGTATCGGATTTATCAGAAACACAATTACGGTATATTTTTTATTGCAAATCAAATGAATTGTCAGCATTTTTTATTTAATCAATAAGTCCTTAATAATAATATGTATACTAAATTAATTTATTAATATTACTTTTTACAGGGAAATATTGCAAGATTTACGTACATATATGTTGTCTGAGTATAGAAGTAAAACTTCGGATAATGACGAGAACGAATATATATCCGTTTACAAGAGAACTGTAAAAATTGATAAAGAATACCATTTGCAAACTGCAAAAACTCTACTTTTAGCTAAGATATCTGTGGATTTAAACGAATCCTCAAGTACAATGTATGAGAAGAGCAATATAATTTGCAACGCATTATGCAAAAATAAAGTTTTTTTACCAAATTTAGATATCATGAGAATTTTTCGACAACAAGAAAAAAAGAATATCAATTTAAAAAGAAGAATTTTGCCATTCAAGATGCTTCGATTCTGGAAAGATGTTATTTTCTTGT